CTCGCTCGGGTTGCGCGCGAGCCAGATGGCTCGTCGACGCGACGCCGCTGCTCTCGAGCACGAGGTGCGACAGCTCGGCGCTGAACGCCGATCGAATGCCAAGGCGCTTCAGTGACGTTGTCCGTGATTGCGCCGAGCAGCGGCTCGTCCACGTCGTCGCTGAATGTGGCTTGCGCCGACGGTACGACGACGCAGGCGCGGTCGTCGCCGTGGAAGAGCTCCATGAGCTCGTCGCGCTCGTCCGTGTAGAGCGGCCACGCGACCGGGCTAGCGAGGCCATCGACGTCGAGGCTTGGGACCTCGTCTTGCGGATGCAGCGTCTGGTACACGCAGTGGGCACCGGTCGTGCCCGCGAGGCTGTGCAGCGCCGACGCATACGCGGCTGCGACGCCGTCGTCGGCCATCTTGAGCACCATCGTCGCGATGTGCCAATGATGATGGCCCGTGCCACGATGAGGCGCCCGGACCAGCTGGTGTCACACCAATCTCAAACACGTGAAAAGACGGTGAATTTTCTGTAAAATACGAAAATACGGTCGATTTTAAAAAGACGGCATCGATGAAAATACGGTATATTTGTGAAAAAACGGATGCGTTGGGTCGTGCCAAGGAAAAGACGGGCCGACACCACCTTGTCTAAAGTTTAGACAAGGTGGTGCGAGACCGTAATTCATACCGTAGCTTTGGTGCGAATTGACCGTGCGTTGCTTGGTTGGCAGCAAGGGAATAAATTATTCCCTTGGTTGGCAGATGCGAGCCGGTGGGCCAAATACGAGACAAGGCGGGGCACGGTAACCCGTCCGCTGACGAATGGGCAATGCCCTTGGTGTTGGTCAACGCGTCACAACAACGACGGGTACGAGCATGTCGAGGATGAACACATTGTCTGTTAGTCGTACGACGCACGAGGGCCTCCACAAGTGTAGACGGGGTAAGGACGCGGGCGCAGGCAGGAGGTGCGATCGAAGTGACCGTCCTCTGATTGCACGACAACATGTGTTACAGTGCTTGTGCTGGGTACCACACTGATGTCGTGCAGACACGTACAGCCATGCACGAGTCTTTTGCTGCCTAGAAATTGTTGCGACCTGTTGCATTGCCGTCGACGACGACGACACGCAGTGCCCTTGCCGCATACACGAGCACAAGCAACGATGGGTCTGTTGAACCCAAAATGGACGAATAGCTCACACTAGTTGAAAGTTTAGAAGGATTAATACTAGTAACCTTCTAAACTTTCAAGGTAGCAACCAGTTTCACTATTAAACTTCAAAGCTATCAACTTGATAGTTTTGAAGGTTAGGAGTGAAACCGGTTGCTACGCTCGCCCATGCGTGTATGACGGTAGTTGAAAAGTGGCTGCAATCGAGCTCATGCCGGATAAAAGTCGAGTCCTCACTGCACCATCCTTGTTGGGCATTGAACATTGTGTCTTGAATCACTGTAATCGAAACAACCGTGTGAATAGACACTACTCAATTCGTTTTAGCTTGTGCTTTATCGACTTGCAATCGACAAAAATAGCCACCGCTCGACACGTGCAATTTCGCTCGTCCGTCCAAAGCGTCGGATGTCGAGTCCTGTGCGTCGCCACCACCCGCGTCCTTCCCACGCCGTACGCCATCCTGTCGTACACAAGTGTGGACATATTGTCTTGGCTCGAGTAGACTGCAACGTGCGTCCATTGTTTTGCCTCGCCGGCGCTGCGCTCTTCGAGCCATGCGCTGCCGTATCTCAACGGTCTTCGCTCGTCGACAAGCAACCCCGATGTCTACTACTTGACTGCGCACGACGCCAGTCCGAGCGAGGTGCTACCTTATACAATGGCTCCGTTGTCGAATGGTTCCTGGATGTAGGACCCCGAGGTCGACTCTGAAAGCCACCAAATGCATGACATCGATATGGTTTGAATAGAAGCACTATGCCGACGAGGCCCACTTGTGCCCAAGACACAACGTCCTCAAGCCCAAGCGGAACGTGATCGTCATGCCGAGCCTCGCCCACACGGGTAATCATCTCGTTGTTTTAGCAAACGACGAGCAAGTGACTTAGGTATCTCGCTCGCGTCCGACCAGTCGGACCGCACCGAGTGGCGCGCCGACTTGCATGCGCTCACGAACGACTTGCATCGCACGTACTGTCATCTCCCTTGCGACGTCCTGTGAATCGAAATGAGATCGATTTTGGTAGGTGGACACCTGCATCGATTGTGTGGAGCGAAGACGCGTTGCGCGTCGGCTTCTTCAAGGACGCGGCGCAGGTCAAGCCCAGCGTGCATTCGGTGCTGCTGCAAGGACTCAAGCAGACGACGCCGACAGAAACACCCACACCCTGCGTGAGCCTCTCGTCGCCATACCGGCCCAAACACCTCTAGTTCTGGTGTCAAACAACAAACGCGACCTACTAGTTTAGTAGAATAGCTGGATACGAACGCGGGCTCTAGCATTCTAGTCGGTCCAACGACTGCATTCTTCTTGCACGACGTGGAGATCGTTGCGCCGCAGGCTGGATTCAGGTCGTAGGGCGGTGCGTGTACCGATGTCATGATCGTTCCCAGTCGAGACGTTGATACGCAACTACGTTCTCTCCTGTCGAACACTTGAACCTCTCGACTACCGCGCGGTTGAAGCATGTCGTGTACAGATTCCAATCGTCTTTTCAGCCAAATGGCTTCAAAATGACACAAAAATGTCACAAAAATAAAAACGGGAGCAAACGTGGTGGACGAAAGCACCACACGACTAGAGATGGACAACAATGTGGGGTGGTAGTAGCGAGTGCACGATCGACCGGCACGCGGTGCGGTCGGCGGCTAAGGACAGCGTCGACGAGAGATCCATCGTGAGAGGCCAGTTTTGTCTCCGAGCCGCGGCCTGCGCCATGTCGAGGATACCGCCACTGGAGAGCGGGTTCTTGTTGAGCGCAAGGAGGCGCAGCGACACTGGACGCGCCTGGACCAGCGCGATTGCCCCCATCGAGCCAATGCGGTTGCCGCCCAAGTACAGCTGGCGAAGCGTTTGGCACATGGGCAGGGCGCCTGCAAGCGCCAGGGCCACCGTATCGCTCACGCCTTGACGCACGAGCCGCAAGGAACAAAGAGACGTGCCGCGAGATAAGATGCTTGCGAGCACCGCGTCGTCGTCGTCCATGAGGTCGTTGTCGTCAAGCGACAGTTCGTGTAGTCGTGGCACGACTTCTGTCACAAGGCTTTGCATGCAAGACGGCGTGAGATGCCACGACGTCAACGTGAGCGACCGCAGTCGGCTCAGCGCTGGCAATGCCTCGCAGACGACACGGTGCATGGGACCCCACTTCGTCGAGCGCGACGCCGAGAGCGTCAGCGAGGACAGGCGCGGACACGTCACCAGCCGATGCGCCAGCTTGCACAAGTGGTGCGTGTTACCAAACGAAAGGTGCAGCGAGCGCAGTGATGGCGGCCAAGGCTGATCGAGACGGCAGAGTTGCTGGGACAACAAGGTGGCCTCGAGGCGCAGAGAACGCAGCTGTCGCAGAGACATAAGC